AGAGATAGGAAGTGTGCAGTAGGGATAGAAATCACAATTATAGCTCAATCAGGTTAGATTTTAAGCATTACAAATATATAATTTATTTTTAATAGTTATTAAGAATTTTTACTTTGCATAATAATATTTAAAATGCATCAGCAGGTGGTCTAATACCAAGCAAATCTTCCACAATTTGTGTCTTATCACCTTCTACAGCTGCAATCATTGCCTTTCCATCTATACGAAGCCCTGTCTGAATAGCAATGTCCTGAAGAGTTATAGTATACTCTCCAGGAGGCATGTGGAAGGTATATGTGTCTCTGACCTCCATCTTTCAACCAAGGCTGTAATAAGATGTCGATTAATAGGAAAGCATGTCAACTGAGCAACTCCAGCAAATCCAGCTAAGGTTAGATGAGGAAGTATCTCCACGGGAACTCCTTCCATGTCAGCCGGTATAAAGTGACTCATTCTCACCTTTAAAATTGGGTGCTCACGTCCATCCCAAATATGCTCCGATAGGTGAACAAACTGATACCTCAATAATGAACGATCCTCTGGGCCAGGATTTCAAACCCTACTCTGCGATGAAGATGATGCCATCTGAAATAAAATTTGTCAACTTCAACTGAAATTATGTACATTAAAATGAATAGATTAAATAAACATATAAGTTTATCATCTTATTTTTCATTACTACCTAATTTTTATTACAATTATTTAACTATAACAATAACAAAATTTCAAATTAACATAAAAAACTCTTTCATTTAATTATTATATTAAATAATTTTTAACAATTTAAAAACTTTTAAATATTAATTTACAATTATAATAAATAGCTATAAATGTAATTACATGCACTCAATTAAGTCTGATCAACAATTTTTTATTTACTCTAAATTTTAAAAACTAATTATTATTCTTACTACATCTAATATTTTTTTGTCACAAATTCTTTATTATATCTTAATTTATCATCAAAATATAAAAAATTATTATTTCTTTAGGGTCGTATAAAATTTTGCCCATTCTACTGCATTTCATATACTTTTTTTCTCATTACTATGTTTTTTATTTCTTTTTTCTGAACTGTATATCTTAATATCAAATTTTCTTTCCTCTTAACAATTAATTACTATAACAATTTAGGGTTTAGGGTTTATAACAATTTATCTTAATATCTTATAATTAAAATATATTATTGAATTACTAAAATTTAAATTTAATACATTCTTTAAATAACAAATTATAAATATTTAATATTATATTATACAATTTTTAATACCATTTATTTAAAATTTTAAATCATAAACTTTTAAGTAGATATGTAATGTTTTAAATATATTTGATGATATACTTATTATATTATTTATTGCTATTTTTTAATAAACTTATTTTTTAAAATATATTTATAATATAACTGTATATGCTATTTTTATCAATAGTTTTAATAAAAATATTGTGTTTACACAAATTCAAAAACTAAATATTATTTTTACTACTAACGTTATTTTTTGTGTCAACAAATTTTTTTATATATCAATCTACCATGCAAAGAACAAAATTCTTAATTTCTCTTACATTCATTATTTAATATTTTTACTGCATGTGAATATATATTTTTTCATTATCATGTTTTTTATTTTTTTTAACTATATTTATTTATATATATTTTTCTTTCCTCTTAATTTATCTATTTATTACAATCAAAATTTTTCTTGTTATTTAATAATTAAACACATATTATGGATTACTATAATTTATATTTAATACATTTTTAAACAACTAATTATAAAGCAATAACAATTATATTATACAATTTTTTATAGCACTATCTAAAATTTTAGCTAACAAAATACATAAATTAATTTTTTAAATATTTTAAAACAAAAAATTAATTGTGCACCTGTGTTAGACTGAACACAATATATATTCTCTTCTTCAGGAACTCCACTGACCACCACCAACCGTTACCCACTCACCCAAAAAATGCCCTGCACCATAATTTCAATGTAAAATGCAACCAATCTCATATTTAAAAACTAAACTATATTCGATTTATTATTTTCTTTACCTTATAATAATTTTTTCTTCCAATTTCTGAAAGCTCAGACTAAAAAACGTAGGCAATGCTATGGTTTTTTTCCCAGGACCCTTTCTCCCTTTCTGCAACTGAAACGCTAACGGAGAAGAATAAAGGAGGAAGAAGGAGCCGCGCCCAAACGGTCAAACTGCACCGCCACGTGGACCAATCACGGTTGTGTCGTCCCTGACGCAGGCGACACTGAAGACGGCTCTGTACCAGCCGACACTGAAGACGGCTCTGGAGTAACCGACACTGAAAACGCCTATCAATCAGCCGACACTCCTAAGATTTACACATGTGTCTCCTTTTCTTCCCCATCTGTTGATTGTTTTTGAATTTTTTTTTTTCGTTTAATTAGTGTCGTCCAGAAGAGGGACGACTCTCTTGCCACGTGAATTTTTCAACCCCAGAACGGGAATTTGTTCTCATGAAACCATATTTAGATAATTTTTTTTTTATAAAATTAACCCTATAATTATAGGGCAAAAAAGCCGATATAATCGGTTAAGAAAATTACAACTTCTTCCAACCGAATCAACCCCTTTAAATTTGAACATTAAATTTGAATTGACTTGTCCAGCCCACCAAGTTAGCATTTTTGAGCCTTTAGTTTGTGTAGTTGGGCCTTCGATTCTTGCCTATCCCAACCTAGGATAGTAATATGCATGACATGATTAGTAAGTCACGTTTCTTGCACACTAATTTTCTTTTTTAAACTTTCCGTAGTGTTAACTTCAGTATCAAGACCTTACTTTAATTATATTTTTTTAATAAATTTAATTAAATTTTTAACCTCTAAAAGTATCAGACTTTTTAGTCTTATATTAAACAAAAATACATGATTTTAGCCCATTAGAGATAAAAATCACATACTTTTAAATTTTTCTAGGATTAAAAATAAATAATTTTTTTATAGAAAATAAAGTAAATAAAAAAACATTTTCGGCTTTTTTGCCCTTATAGGGTTAATTTTAAAAAACAATTATCTAAATATGGTTTCATGAGAACAAATTCCCGGTCTGGGGTTAGAAAATCCACGTGGCAAGAGAGTCGTCCCTCTTCTGGACGACACTAATTAAACGAAAAAAAATTAAAATAATTCAAAAACAATCAACGGATGGGGAAGAAAAGGAGACACGTGTGTAAATCTTAGGAGTGTCGGCTAATTGATAGGCGTCTTCAGTGTCGGCTACTCCAGAGCCGTCTTCAGTGTCGGCTGGTATAGAGCCGTCTTCAGTGTCGGCTACTCCAGAGCCGACTTTAGTGTCGCCTGCATCAGGGACAACACAACCGTGATTGGTCCACGTGGCGATGCAATTTGACCGTTTCGGTGCGGTTCCTTCTTCCTCCTTTCTTCTTCTCCGTTAGGTTTCAGTTGCAGAAAGGGAGAAAGGGTCCTAGGAAGAAAACCATAGCATTGCTTACGTTTTTGGGTCTGAGCTTTCAGAAATTGGAAGAAAAAATTATTATAAGGTAAAGGAAATAATAAATCGAATATAGTTTAGTTTTTAAATATGAGATTGGTTGCATTTTACATTGAGATTATGGTGCAGGGCATTTTTTGGGTGAGTGGGTAACAGTCGGTGGTGGTCAGTGGAGTTCCTGAAGAAGAGAATATATATTGTGTTCAGTCTAACACAGGTGCACAATTAATTTTTTGTTTTAAAATATTTAAAAAACTAATTTCTGTATTTTGTTAGCTAACATTTTAGATAGTGCTATGAAAAATTGTATAATATAATTGTTATTGCTTTATAATTAGTTGTTTAAAAATGTATTAAATATAAATTATAGTAATCCATAATATGTGTTTAATTATTAAATAACAAGAAAAATTTTGATTGTAATAAATAGATAAATTAAAAGGAAAGAAAAATACATATAAATAAATATAGTTAAAAAAAAAAAAAAAAACATGATAATGAAAAAATATATATTCACATGCAGTAAAAATATTAAATAATGAATGTAAGAAAAATTAAGAATTTTGTTCTTTGCATGGTAGATTGATATATAAAAAAATTTGTTGACACAAAAAGTAACGTTAGTAGTAAAAATAATATTTAGTTTTTGAATATGTGTAAACACAATATTTTTATTAAAACTATTGATAAAAATAACATATACAGTTATATTATAAATATATTTTAAAAAATAAGTTTATTAAAAAATAGCAATAAATAATATAATAAGTATATTATCAAATATATTTAAAACATTACATATCTACTTGAAAGTTTATGATTTAAAATTTTAAATAAATGGTATTAAAAATTGTATAATATAATATTAAATATTTATAATTTGTTAGTTAAAGAATGTATTAAATTTAAATTTTAGTAAGTCAATAATATATTTTAATTATAAGATATTAAGATAAATTGTTATAGTAATTAATTGTTAAATTAAGAGGAAAGAAAATTTGATATTAAGATATACAGTTCAGAAAAAAGAAATAAAAAACATAGTAATGAGAGAAAAGCATATGAAATGAAGTAGAATGGGCAAAATTTTATACGACCCTAAAGAAATAATAAATTTTTATATTTTGATGATAAATTAAGATATAATAAAGAATTTGTGACAAAAAAATATTAGATGTAGTAAGAATAATAATTAGTTTTTAAAATTTAGAGTAAATAAAAAATTGTTGATCAGACTTAATTGAGTGCATGTAATTACATTTATAGCTATTTATTATAATTGTAAATTAATATTTAAAAGTTTTTAAATTGTTAAAAATTATTTAATATAATAATTAAATGAAAGAGTTTTTTATGTTAATTTGAAATTTTGTTATTGTTATAGTTAAATAATTGTAATAAAAATTAGGTAGTAATGAAAAATAAGATGATAAACTTATATGTTTATTTAATCTATTCATTTTAATGTACATAATTTTAGTTGAAGTTGACAAATTTTATTTCAGATGACATCATCTTTATCGCAGAGTAGGGTTTTAAATCCTGATCTGGAGGATCGTTCATTATTGAGGTATCAGTCTATTCACGTATCAGAGCATATTTGGGATGGACGTGAGCACCCAGTTTTAAAGGTGAGAAGGAGTCACTTCATACCGGCTGACATGGAAGGGGTTCCAGTGGAGATACTTCCTCATCTAATCTTAGCTGGATTTGTTGGAGTAGCTCAGTTGACATGCTTTCCTATTGATCGACATCTTATTACAGCCTTGGTTGAAAGATGGAGGCCAGAGACACATATACCTTCCATATGCCTCCTGGAGAGTGTACTATAACTCTTCAGGACATTGCTATTCAGACAGGGTTTCGTATAGATGGAAAGGTAATGATTGCAGCTGTAGGAGGTGATAAGACACAAATTGTAGAAGATTTGCTTGGTATTAGACCACCTGCTGATGCATTTTAAATATTATTATGCAAAGTAAAAATTCTTAATAACCGTTAAAAATAAATTATATATTTGTAATGCTTAAAATCTAACCTAATTGAGCTATAATTGTGATTTCTATCCCTGCTGCACACTTCCTATCTCTTATCAAGCCAATGCAATTTTTTGCCGAGCTCCATGATCATATTTATACATATTCTAACTTGGATAAAAGAATGTATCAAATTTTTTATCCACAGGTCGCAGTAAAATCGGCTTTGCAGTGAGCACTACTAAAATCGTCCCAAATAAGACGACACTAGTTCGTGGCATGACACGTGGCGCGATCTGGTGAGTATCATCCCATTAGGAGACGACACTCTCATATTTCGACACGTCAGCACTTGTGTCATCCAGAAGAGAGACGATTCTCTTGCTACGTGGATCGCGACCCCAGACCGGGAATTTGTTCTCATGAAACCTTATTTAGATAATTTCTTTTAAAATTAACTCTAAAAGGGCAAAAAAGCCGACATTTTCATGTACTCGTTACTCATTTAAGCCTTTATTAATCATAAAAATATCAATATTATTTAATAAATTATAGTTTTTTTTTAACTTTTTCATCAAATCATATTAGTGGCAAAAAAATTTAACCTTTTTTTTATATTTTTATTTTTTCTTTCAATCTTAATAACAATAAAAGTTATCTAATTTTTTTTTATTTCTATTTTTTTATATTATTTTCTTGTTTCTTTTAATTGCCTTTCGCCGCACTACAGTGTAAGTGAAATTACTCTTTCAATGGTAAGTTTTAAAAAATGTTGTTAGTTTAATAAATTAAAAGATGTAATTTGGTTCAAAAGTTAGTTGAAGAGAATATCCAAAATTAGGAAGAAAGCCGAAAAATGATATTTATATATTTTTAAAAGATTAAATTACATGCTTGCCTTAAAATTTATTTTAACCATGGTGATTTTCTAAATGAAAAAAGTATTTTTTTTTTAATCAACTCTCTTCTTTAAGCCTTACTTTTCATATAAGAAACTTTATTTGTTTTCCACCGTTATTTATTTTAAGATTGAGAATATTTACTCTCAATTCTGTTTCTGGCAAAATTAGAATCGATTTTGAAGGATGTGATAATTTATCGATACCGTCCAACTTGCTTTGGATTTTGTGAATGAAACTACAGTCGTTAATTAGATATGCAAAAACGATTTTGTTCGTCGGAATGGATATTCAAACAACCTGAAATTTTGTCGTATATTAATTGCCTCAACATTGCTATCTTTGTTACATTCTTTGTTTACGTTCGGCTGATAGCAATTTTTTTATTGAAAATAAAAACAGTTAAAAATAGACAAAGTAAGTAGTGTGTTTGTCTTGAGAAAAAACAAAATACTGGTCCTTCTTTTACATGACTTTTAAGGATGGATGGGACCCATGCTTGTGTTGTGTCACCATTGAATTTGACAACGACTTATCTTTAAGTATTGAACACTTGATCATGGCATCTTCATTTATCTGCACCAAGGCAAGCCCTTGAGCATTGAAAATGGAGAAGACCACCCAAGTTCATGTCCCAACAGTTAAATTGGGTACTCAAGGCTTAAAGGTAAGCATCCACTTTTCTTTCTTTCTTTCTTATATTTGTTTCATGTGATTTCACCACCGGATCGAAAAAAATGATAAGATAAGATGAATATATGACCGACAAGAAAAACATAGTATTGTAAATTATTTAATGAGTAATATGACTATTTTTAATACCATCCCCATCAAAATCTTTGATTTCTGCTTCATTGTGGCCAATCCCAGCCGTTGTTTCATCAACTCTAGAATAATTTTGCATTGAAAATTTTATTCTCATTTTCATACTCATGTAAATATTAAACATTTTGCTTTTGTTGATCTATTATGGGTACCAACATACATTTTTGTTAAAAAAATTTTATGGGTATCATACATTGAATTTTGGAATTTTTGACAATGTGTTCCACTTCTCCATTGAAAAAACCTTTATTGTGATTATGATGATAACATTTCTTGCATATAACCCTTTTGTGTAGGTTTCTAGGTTGGGATTTGGATGTGCAGGTCTATCTGGATTTTATAATGCACCACTCTCACATGAAGAGGGATGCTCTATTATTCAGGAAGCATTCCATAAGGGAATTACATTTTTTGATACTTCAGATGCTTATGGAGACAATCATTATAGTGAATTCATGGTTGGCAAGGTACCATAATATCCAACCATACTTGATTTTGTTCACAAAAAAATAACTATACTTGATATATTTTTTCTTTTATTTTCATTCTAGCATCCAAAAATACAATATCAATTGTATTAATTGCAAATATAGTTTCATTAGCTTGGTTAAAGATGCATTAACAACTGATTGACAGAAATACTAGTGTGCTCCATCCATATAGTAAAAAGTTTCAATGACATGAACTGAGTATCAAGAATTTTATTATAAATTTACTTAATTAAATATTTGTTTAATTTAGCCAGAGTTAGGGGAAATAAAATGCTGGAATTTTATTTGACATGTACTAACAGATTTTGATCTTTGCATTGTATATATCATTAGGCCTTAAAAGAACTTCCTCGTGAAAAAATTCAGTTGGCTACAAAATTTGGCTTCTTTAAAAGTGATGAGATCCCTATTGGAGTGAAAGGTACTCCTGAATATGTGCGAGAATGCTGTGAAGCTAGTCTTAAGCGCCTTGATGTCAATTACATTGATTTGTACTATCAACATCGTGTTGACACTACTGTGCCAATTGAAGACACTGTAAGCTTTTAATGGCTCATTATATATACTTATATTTCTTAACTTATCATATTTATTTATATGTTTCTCGTTTAAATTTATGGATACAACTTAAGTATAATTTTTCAGATACTTTTAATTTTTTTAATTAAATATAGAATTTTATTTCAATAAACTGTGAACATTTGATGTTATCATAAATTATTGAAATAAAATTTTAATTTGACCTCTGAAATGAAGGTGGGGGAACTCAAAAAGCTTGTAGATGAGGGGAAGATAAGATATATTGGGCTATCAGAGGCTAATGCTGACACCATAAAGAGAGCACATGTGGTTCATCCTATTACTGCTTTGCAAATGGAGTATTCTTTATGGACTCGGGAAATTGAAGAAGAAATTGTTCCACTGTGCAGGTTTTTAAATGCAATAACAATTTTGTTATTTATGTAATTCGTTATAAAAGAAATGCTTAACATGTGTTTTTATTATAAGCTATTAAAAGTTATATAAATTATGAGAGTCTCATCACTAATTAATTTTACTCGTACTTATGTAATTTTTAATAAATTTAATACTTCTTTTGTTATAATCCATGGAGTTTCTAATTATTGTTTAATATGTAACTCATTGTCTCAGATATACATGCTTTTAAATTATAATATTCATTTTCAAAATAGTTGAAAATCATTGTACATTGTCTAAAGTAGGTTTATGTTTTACAGAGAACTAGGGATTGGAATAGTGGCATATAGCCCTCTTGGTCGCGGCTTTTTTGCAGGAAAGGCAGTGAAAGAGACTTTGCCTAGTGAGAGCATTTTGGTATGCAGCTAATGACAAGTTATGCAGTTTCAGTTTCAAATTTGCTTGAATCTTTTAGATCATACTATTGCGTGTTGCATGTTTTGGATAAATATTTTAATAAGTACTTATAAAAATAAAATAAAAGCATTAAGAGATGAAATGAATATTCTCTTATGATCTACAAGCAACTTTTGTATCTAAAAAGAGTTTGATTCATTTTAACTTGTTGATTGATTTTATATTCTTCGTTTATAAGTGTTTATTAAGAATCTAATATTATTATTTAAGTTCTATTCTTGCAATCATTATTGCCTATTGAAATTTGATCGATGTTTCTGTAACAGGCTACGCATCCCAGGTTTAGTAAGGAAAATTTAGAAAAGAACAAGCTTTTCTATAAACGGCTTGATGACTTGGCTTCAAATCATGCATGCACTCCTTCTCAGTTAGCCTTAGCATGGCTTCTCCATCAGGGCAATGACATCATTCCTATCCCAGGTAAGGTCTTTTTTCCACTTGGAAAACCATGTTCAACATTATGTGATGAGTTGGTTATTCTTACCAATCATATTTGTTCTCAAGAAGAGAGAGCAACACATTGAATGTATGAAAAAAAAATACTCATTGCATTATCTAATTAGTTCTGAGGTGACCGTATATATATATACGCAAAAGAAGAGGGAAAAAAAACTAATAACTAACCTATGGAAACTAACAACTATATGATGAAGTGATAGTCAATTTCAATATGTTTAGATATTTTCGTCAAATGAAGGGTTTGATGCAAGGTAAATTGCTCAGTGATTGTCACAGAACAATAAAGTTGGACAAAAAAGACTTCAAAATCTTTGAATAAGGGCATTAACCAAACAATCTCACTTATTGCACTAGCTAAAGCCATGTACTCAGCTTCTGTAGATGATCTATAACCACATTTTGTTTCTTTGATTTCCATGAAATTAAGGAGGAATCTTCTAGAAAAATACATAGGGCCGAACCAATTGAAGCTTTCAAACAACTAAGAACCCTGCATCCAGATGATGTTCTTGAGGCAGTAGTCATCATGAACTAAATTTATTTACTGCAGAGCATAAATCGTGTCTAGAGGCAATTAGATATTAAAGGCTGGCTTACAGTCTGCAAAACTTGTGTCATTGAGAAGAGAAAGATTATATTTTATTTAATTATTATTTACCAATAAAAAGTATTTGATATAAAAAAAATATTTAAAAAAGAGTTGTGATAGACATTTGGAACTAACAATAGCTACGTTTGAACATATTCTTTAGTTTTTGTGGCCCTTCAATGATTAAAGTGAATTATAGGTTGGCAATTATGATGTCATCTACAGACACCAATAGTCATTATTGCCCGATCCTTTTGTACAATGAGAGTAGTCACACTTTGAATGGGTTAATCCAATTGAAGTTAATGTTGCAGAAAATTTTGTGAACCGTTGCCTTGAAGATTGTCGCAATCTATGAACCGATTTTTTGAGTTCACAAACAAGGTTCTCCCCCTTAATGTGGTTTCCCAAAGGAGATTCATGTAAACTTCTTCTAACATCTCTTGGTTGAGGAAGACATTTATTGATGTCAAGTTGTAACAAATGCTTCTTCGACTACAAGTGTTAAAAGCATTCTCACAGTTGTTATTTTTGCAAATGGTGAAAAAGTGTCTTAAAAATCCACTCCTTTTAGCAGAGTGTTGCCCTTGGCACCTAGTCTACCTTTGAGTCTTTCCACTGTCCCATCCAATGGTGTGTTTGTCTTTTGGTGGAGATACGATTGTCCATTTGTTATTTCCATACTGCCACCCAGGAAATTTACCTGCTTGGTGATAGAACTTGCAACATTGCACATGATAAGAAATTAATTAATAATAAGTTTTAATTGAAAATTTGAAGCATTTAAACATCAATGAATTGGATTTCGATTGTAAGAAGGGTGTTCATGAATTGGATTTTTAAAAAATCAATCTAGATCTATTTAAAATCCAATTATATGGATTGGATTATAAACCAATCCATTTTAATTTTTCTAAAACCGGTTTAAATTTAGTTTTAAAATTTAGATTTGGTTTAAAATTGGTTTTAAACTGTTTTTACATATGGTAAAATATACCATAATTATTTTTTAATTATTATTAAATTATTATATTAAAATATTTAAATTTTATAATAAATAATATAACATTATATATATATATATATATATATATATATATATATATATTTGTTAAGCATCAACATTTATTAAAGATAAAATATAAATACAAAGAGTACTCTAACTCATTACATTAACAATACATGTCAAGAGAGTATTTACATATATTTTAATTTATTAATAATATTTTTTATTTTTATATTTTATTAAAGTAATAAATATTTAGATATATTCTATTTTTTATCATCTATCCATCACACAAATTAATTATATGAGTTGAATTTTAAACTATTTTATTTTATTTTTTTAATCGATTTAAAAATAGTTTTGAAATTTAAATTTAGTTTAAAATCAGTTTTAAATTTGATTTTTATTGAAACTAGTTTTAAATTTAGTTTTACGTTGAATTAGTTTTAAATCTAATTTTAAATTTAATTTTTAGCGTAAAATTAATTTTTAATATATTTGTGAATTATATTTTTAAGATAAAACTAATTTATTGTACAAAATGTTACATTAAATTAGTGCATTTCAAAAATATTTTAACAATATTTATTAATATATTATATTTTATAGAAGTATATAAAATATTTATTATTATTTTTAACTTATTTTTAATAAACGAAGTTTATAGTAAAAATTTAAATTTAAATTTATAAAAATAAAAATTAATAATATAAATAATAATAAAATTTTTATGTTATAATATTTTAAAAATTAAAAAATAAACATAAATATAAAAATAACAGTAGTAATTAATTTAAAATATTTGTTATATTTTAATATTTTTAATTATTTTAAATATTTTAATTATAAGAATTAAGATTAATAAAAAAATAGTAGTAGTAAAATGTAGTTACAATAAAATTTTATAAACTAATATAATGTCAAAATTTAATAAATAAAGATATAGGTTACTTTATATATATGGATTTGGATAACTAAAAAAAATTCAGTTTTAGAAAATGAATTTAAACACTAAACAAGTTACACAAATATAGTTAATAAAAAAATTAGTTTATTATGGATCTAAATTTTTAAAACTAATTTGACATTAGTTATGGATTAGATTTATAAAATTAGATTTTTTGAACACCTTAAGTAAGTGGGTCTGTTTTTTCAACCTAGTAGTCATATGCATAGTAACTCTAAATAGTAGGTATAAAGTAAGTATAAAGGATGAGACATATCTTTTTATATTAGTATAAGTTTAAAAAAAATTATATTTAATTTAAGTTATTTATTTAATTTATATCTAAAAGATTATAATTTATTATTCCATTGACCATTAAATACAAGTTAAATAAAAGATTCAAATTGAGTTTAAGAATTTTTAGACTTATACTAATATAATTTTTTTTATAAAATAAATTGTTCAATATTTTCAAATTAGTCTAACTTCGTACCTGTCTAGCTATTTTTCAATAAAAAAATTACATTATATAAATTCTTATCATTGACAATATTGTACTGATTAAAAAAAAAGTATTATGTTGCATTTTTATGTTATTGAAGTGTTTTAATCAATATTTTAAATTGTATAATAAATCTACTAAATATACTCGGTCATCTATCACATACTCCATCTATCTTATATTAGATGTCACTTAGAATAATTTTTATTTGTCACTTTAAGAATGCATTTTTTTCCAATAATACCCTTATTTATTAGGATTTATTTTTATCAATTAACTACTATAGTAACTTTACTATTACTTTAAAAATATTTCTCATCCTTTAGCTACTTCAATAGCTTTAGTTCTTTTAATAGGAGTGTTTTAATAAAATCAATTTATTTTACCATAATAAGTGATAAAACTAGACATTTTCTTTAAGATGTGTGTATTAATACCAAGTAATATTTATAATTAGGTGGAAGAAACATTTGATAATTAGAAATGTTAGCAACTATCTTCGTAATACAATCTCTAGTATTATTTAAAATTTATTAAATATCATAGAATTATATAAGTTTTACTTTTAATTTAATGATTTTCATAATTTTGAATAAATTTTAATTTATAACATAGAACGCGTAACACTTCTCATTTAAAAATATATCATGTATTGCGTATATTCATGCTCGTACCAACAACCGTTGAATGTAAATGATCTGAAATTCACTTATTTCTCTTCTAAATTACCATTAAATGAAACGAGGAAAAGCATGATACTACAACCCTTTTAAAACCTCTTTTTCATGAATTTAACCTTCTATGATCGAAATGCATAAAGTCTGTGTTGATTGATTGAACTATATACATTGTCAATATAACATATTGTAACATGAGAATGGATTGGTTCTAATGACAGAGTGTTCTATATCATATATTTCTTTGATACTAGGGACTACCAAAATTACGAACCTTGAAAACAACCTTAGCTCTTTGGCCGTTGAGCTTACTGATGAGGAATTGAAAGAGATTTGTGATGCAATTCCTGTTAACGAAGTTGCAGGGGCCCGAGAATTTGACATCTTATACAGATACAGTTGGCAGTTTTCAACTACTCCATCAAAGTATTCTATCCCTGATTAGTCAAACTATCCATGACTGTGGCAACTAGGATCAAAGTTGACATAATTAGTTATGAAGAGTAAGCAAAAGTAATATGATGTTACTCAAGTATTATTATTATTTTAATATGATGTTAATATTATTTTATTTATAATCATAATTTAAACAGAGGCCATAAATCACTTAGTTGTGAGACAAATTATATGTTTGTGTATGATAAAGATGTTTGGACACTAATTTCCTCTCTTACATGTTATACAATTATTGAATGGTATATTCTAGATTATGTTTTTCCTTAGTTTGGTAGAGCTTAGCACATTTCAAGACTTAACAATCTCTTCTATTATTTTAAGAGAGATTATTTTTTATTTCTCCACTGACAATATACTGGCACAAATATCATTACTATCCAATTGTCAACCATTATTAAGAGCTTAGTCAAATACACGTGTAGTTCGTTATACTTTTGAACTTTCTACATCTGCAATTTGGAGCGATAAGTAACACAAATGTTCTAATTGGACCTATTATCAAACTTTATACATTCATTGTAGTATTTTCTATAATCTGACTCATAAATTTTATGTTCAACTGATTTTTGAATATTGTAACTCTATTGCAAATAATACAATTTTTTTGTCTCTAACTAATTACCCAATTTGAACTCTATTAATCAATCCAAAGTAAACTTCTAGTACCTTTGCTAACTTCGCATAATAACCCATCAGCATTGTTCTGATTCATTTAATCCAAAATCAATATTGAATAGTAATTAGACTATCATTGACATTGTAACTATGACATCAATGATTATGTCTAACTAATATCCTTTACCTCTCTCAAACCCTTCGTCACTCTTAATGTGTATAGGCCTATTAAATTGCTCAATTTGATATCTTCTCCATATTCAATAAAATTTTACAAATCAAAAATTTCAATAGGTTAACATTCAAATGTTAAAGAAATTGTGCAAAATTTGGAGTTGCCACAACAACCTTTCACAATCATTATGCTAACCTTATTCGTTGGGGAATAGGGTGCCCTAACAATTAATTCAACAAAGATCAGAACCTACATGACTGAATTGAGTTTTTTTCTATTACAAATATTTTCATTATTACAAAGATCATACTCACATAATTATCATTACAAATTGCATAATGTATATACTTGATCACGCTTAAACCTATAGCTATGGACAACTGTATAACATCTTTATAATTTGCATGTTATTTGTTTGGCCTAACTACTGAAATACACTACTTTCTATAGTATTTGTAACTTGGCAATTGTAATGAACAAGTATATAATACGTTTTAACTATTTCTACAAAATTTATCTATTTCTACAATTGAGAAATATATCTTTTACCTAAACAACTTCTTTCTCAACAAAAGTTTATATAAGGGTAGATAATAAGATGCATGATGTTTGGACAATTTAATTTATATGATAAGTTGCACTAGGGTACAACGACTTATATTTTGTCATACTATTTAGCATGCCTTGTGCTAAATGTGAGCATGACCATGCATACACTGGAATCACACTTTCTTGATACAACTTATGTATTATACAAAAGTTGTATCAGGCTTAGGTAACTTGCAGTTAAGCCTGACCATACTCACCTTTTGCATGGGATATGCTTGACTGCAAGTTACCTAGGCTTAGTGCGACTCATGTATAAATTATAAATTGTTTCATCCTAACGCAATTTATGTATTAAGTAGAATTATGACATATTTCAAATGATTAAAAATTATAAATTTTTTAAAGTTTTTATTTAAAAATATCAATCAATTTTAATGCTTGAGTTCTTTCTCTTTTTTTAAGCTCATCTTGCTGACTCTGACTAGTAGTATGAAATTCTATACAATATCATTTGATCATATGTTGTCATATTAATAAATTAATTAATTTTTATAATAATTAATATAAAATCATATGCACAATGTATTTTAATTGATTAACAATATAGAAATATTAAGTTTTAAAACAATTCTTTTGTCTTACATACACAATGCTTAAAAAAAATTAATTGTCATTCACTTGAATCAATACACTAGTATTAAAATAACTTTCTACAATAGGATTTTACATTAGTTAACAAAGAATCGATGTGAAAAAAAATACACGGTAGCATTTTTAAAATTTATGTGAACTTTTTCATATCGATTTTCACATAACTAATCTAAAAAGTATTTATTAAATCAGTTTAAATGAGTCACAAGATTTTTTTAAAATTTTTTGTGGAGATTTTTTTACATTGATTGTACTACATAACCAATGTAAAAAACTATTTTTTATATCGATTCTATTCAAAACCGATGTAAAAAATGATGTTGAATTATTTTTTATTGGAAGACTTTCTACATAGGTTGTGTAGTACAATTGATATAGAAATTACTTTTCACATTGGTTATACTATACAACTTATGTAAAAAGGTGTTTATCAAAGTACTTTATCACTTATGAACAATCACTTTTCTCATGTCCAATACACAATGCACTTTATAGGGTTTCAATTTCTCTCTTGCCCAAGGCATAGAATCTTTATCACAACCTTGTCTTTTTCTTAATCTTGATTAAAATTCATCATTGGTATTTAAATCCCTCCATGTTCTTGTGTCCTGTACATAACATTTCATTTTTATGCTTATTTAAAACATGACAATTTCACTTATACAAGCAATGTTATTTTTATTTTTGAAGATCTTGCCCTCATTTATAGCCTCTAGAATACACATTTCTTTGTATCATTGAAGGAAAGTTACTTGTGACATTTCAAGTTAGTATAACTATATCATTTTGCTTACTTCGAATATGTCATAAAATTGTAGATTTATGCATATAACATTGCTGAATGAAGTCTCTTTCTTTTGTTGTTCCTTTTATCTTGCTATATTTGTGTCTTCTAAACTGTACCATTGTATATTTGTCTCTCTTTTTTTTAACCTTTGTTGTTACACACAATGTGATTGATGAAAAACTTGAGTAAAATGTTTAGTATCTTAGTTTATTAAACTTTAGAATTATAATACTTTGCATATTATAAGTTCAAGGTTTAGGGCTAGCAGATTCATTCAATAATGGTGGAATAAAAATCATCAAAAATTCTTTGAAATAATCCAAGAATGGATTTAGGGAAGCAAGGTAGGTCTTGAATCATTCTCTCAAGTAAACACTTATTTCTAGAATCCTTAGTTCAAATATTTTGTTAATAATTAAGGTTAGAAATAATAAAAAAAATTAAAAGTTCAACATTATTGCTAGAGTGGTAGATCTTAGAGTGGAATAGAATAAGAAATGTGAAGTAGCATGACCCAAAAGCATAAAAAATATATATTTTCCTTCTAATACCTTGGTAGAAATCCTACTTATGAGATGAATGGTATGACATGCAACATAACACTAAATGGGTTTATTTGAATAATCTTAAATGTTATGATTCTTGAAGTTATAAATGAGTTGATTTATTTATGTTATGATAATCACTACCTAGCTTAGTACACTTATTTATGTTGATTTATTCTCGTTCATGATTTAATACAATATCTTGTTGATCTTGTTGTTGTATTGAATCTTAAATTGTCTAAGTTGGATGGTTCAGAAGCAATTTTTTTTTTAGTATTTATAAATTATTTTATAATTCTTGTATAATATTGTTTACGGTGAAAATTACAGGTAGTAAACAAATAAATTCAAGAGTAATCTGGAGATTGAATTTTAGATCCTCTTTAAGTTATTTTAAGTGTGATTTTAATGCAATAGTGAAATCAACGTCGTAAAGCAAAATATTAAGTAGAAATAGTAGAAGGATAATAGAGTAATATTGAATTGAATGTAAAGATTTTAGAGAAAACAAACTGAAAGAGAATGAAATTGCAAGAATTTAAAGTACAACTCTCATAATCAACACCAAGGACCGTGTCTAGCTCAGTGCAAAACTTCAACATGCAGAGAATTTTATATGCTAGTATCTGGTGTAAAAGAGTCGTCCATCAGAATGTAAAGTTTTGAAGTATTTATAGATCAATTAGGCTTAACTGCCCTTTTCTTTTGCAGTTGTCTTTTGATAACTGCCTTCTGTGCGTGCTCTTCTAATAACTGTCACTATCTGTGATCGTGTCTTTTTCTATAACCGCTATTGCACACAATTAGCTCTACTTGTCTCTAATCTCCAACTACTGGTAATCGCTGGTACTGCTCCATGTGTTCATGTTCTTCAAATGATGGTAGCCGCTTCAAGCTTTGCAGTTTTTCAACATGTTCCTTCACTTTTGAACTTTATCCTGTCTTTTGGACTTAAAATAACTCTCATGTCAATTTCTATTCGATAAGTTTTAAGCAAAATTTGTTGAAGATTTTCTTTCTTGATGGGTTCTAGATGTTTTCATTCTTGGACTCAAAATTTTCAAGACTTCTCGAAATATGACCCTCATTTCGACATAAAATGAGGCTCTTTTTCATAATCTTTCAAAATTCCTTGAAATGTGACCCTTTTTTGACATAAAATGAGGCTTTCTTACAACTCTTCAAACCTCTCGAAATGTGGCCCTCTTTTCAACATAAAATGAGATTTTTCTAAAACTCTGAAAACTCCTCGAAATGTAACTCCCTTTTTAACATAAAATTGTGGCTCCTTTGCCTTTCTTCATAAAAATGTGTTGAAGAGTAGTTCCTTTGACAAGAGTTTAAGATTTTGATATCTTTTCACAAGTCTGCGACTCATCCATATGTAGGAGTCTAGGGTTCTCTTTTAGTAAAAAATGTGTCCATGCCCAACCTTCGAAGTGTACTCCTTAAAAAGACATAGTCTATTTTCTATCATGAAAGTCTGATAACAACTTAGTCAAAATTTCTTTTTGGCCGTGAATTTCATCAAAATGTAGGAACTCATAAGTGTTGGCTTTAGCCAAAGAGGTGCACTCTTTGAGGTGATTCATGACAAACTTGGTATAACCCCTTCTATTTACCATCCACCAAAGACTCTAGTGATGAGGTTTCATAACTTGAAAAAAAATTCTTTTTTCCAAACAAATATACTTGATGAAATTTTGGTTCCTTAAACTTTGCATTGTCTTTGGGTGCATGCTTGATTGTGATATATCATACCATTTTTTCAAAATTGTATACTTCGATACTAATGTAAAATGATGTCTTATATAATATATGAGATTCAATAAATAATTTGTATAAAATTACGATTAATTTTATTTTATATAAAGTTATTCATTCGTACAAAATATTTTTTGTTATAATTATAATGTGTATATTC